TTCGTCGCTCTGTCTCTCTCGCACTCATGGGGCGTGCCGTGAGGGTGCGAGAGAAACAGGGCGACGAGAAGGACTCGCCCGAAAGTTGGCTAAGCCGGGGAAATGAGGCGCAGAATGAAGAGGCGAGAAGAAAGCGAGTGCACCAAAAGGCGTGCAATGGGCGAGTTTGTTCCGCGTGCCGCGCTGCAGACCCATTCCGAGAGTCGCTCTCATCGCCCTGTCTCTCTCGCACTTATGCGGGACGCCTCCATGAGTTTGAGAGAGGGCGACGAAAACGACTCTCAGACTGCGGCTGGAAAGGGGTGAGGGGACGCCGTCCACCACCAGTACGGACGGCTCGCGTTGCATTCGTGCATCCGCTACAGGTGGGAGGTGACGCACAGTGGGCCAGAAGACCGGTGGAGGCGGCCAAAATTCCAGACGCGCTTTAAGCTCCTGAGTCGCTAAACAGGACTCGAACAGAACGTGTGACCCCACCAATGGATTGCTATCCGAACGAGGAATCCATTGGTGGGGTCACACGTTCGGTTCGAGTCCTGTTTAGCGACTCTGGAGCTCGAAACGCGTCTGGAATTTTGGCCGCCTCCTCCGGTGTTCTGGCCCACTGTGTGACGGTGGAGGGGGTAAACGGCAGCCCGTGTGAAGGATGAGTATCCGTAGGATGAAACTAACTTTGTAATCAGAGTGGGCTTCATGCGACAGCGCCACAGATCCATTTCTTTGGCCTGCGGTTTGGACCCTCTCGGGCTCACAGAACACGACGAATTGACACGCGTAGTGCCATTTCAGTTGACCATGCAGGGTGGGCGGCCTTTCGCGGCCCCCGGTGACGCTGCTGGCTGACTGGCGAGGCCGCAGCGCGCTCTCGTCGCTCTGTCTCTCTCGCGCCCATTGGAGACGCCCCGTGAGTGCGACGGCGACAGAGCGACGAACAACACCGTTCTGGATGAGACCGCTTTAGACTGATTCCGAGGGTTGTTTTCGTCGCGCTGTCTCGGTCGCACTCACGGGGCGTCCCGTACAGGTGCGAGAGAGACGGAGCGACGGAGACGGCTCTCGGCATCAGCCCGCTGCGCAGACGGAGTGGGCCGCAGTGGGCGAGGCGGTGGACGCGGCGGACGCGGTCGCCATTCATCCCTCGCAGCGCGCACAGGCCGTGCGGCTGGAGGTTGATTCCGAGCACTGCTTTCGTCACTCTCTCTCTCTCTCTCTCTCTCTCTCTCTCTCTCTCTCTCTCTCTCTCTCTCTCTCTCTCTCTCTCTCTCTCTCTCTCTCTCTCTCTCTCTCTCTCTCTCGCACCCTCACGGGACGCCCCTCGAGTGCGAGAGAGACAGAGCGACGAGAGCAGTATGCTCGGCTGCTGGTACGGAGAACTATGAAGCGAGGCGCTTTTCGCGCGGCGGGGCGCGGAGACTAGGATCAGCGGGCTGCTTTGCTCGGTCGCTCCGTCTCTCTCGCACTCACGGGCCGGCCCGCCTGGCCCGCTGAGGTGCGAGAGAGACGGAGCGACGAATCGTTGGGCAGGCCCATGGGCAGGCCACCGCGGATCAGATTCATTACGCCGGATTTCGGGGAGCATTGTCCGACCGACGCCTTGGACGAGACCGAGAAAGGAGAAGGCGCGGTGGCGAGCACGGCGGGCGTCTCAGCGTCTCAGGTTCAAAGGGACTGGTTTAGGCTGGTTTAGGGTGTAGGCGCGGAGCCTAGGAGGAAGAGTGCGCGATGAGAGCCTTTTTATCAAGAGTCGCCGACAAAGGTGAAGAGAAGGGGAGATGGCGGGGGCGGGTTACAGTGGACTTGCCAAAAGACCGCTGAGGCGGCCACAATTCTAGACGCGTTTCGAGCTTCAGAGTCGCCAAATGGGACTCGAACCGACCGTGTGACCCCACCGATGGATTGCTCTCAGAACGAGGAATCCATTGGTGGGGTCACACGTTCGATTCGAGTCCTGTTCAGCGACCCTGGCTGGAGCTCGAAACGCGTCTGGAATTTTGGCCGCCTCCTCCGGTGTTCTGACCCACTGTGTGGGGGGCCCTTCCAGGCTGTGCAGCGACCGAAGGCCGAAAATAAGATGAACGCATAAAACGGCGGGGGAAGTGGGCCGCGGAGTCGGAGGAGGCGGCATGGGTCGATTGCTTATTGCTCAGAAGGAAAAACGGCATGGTAAAACGGAAAACTAGCAGTAAAATTCGGACGATGCGGGTGAAAATCGTTCGGTGCAGCAGGTGGTGCAGGAGAGCCACACAAACTCTGCCGGAAATCGTTTGGGCTCAGACTGGGTCGGCGGGTTGGAGGTTGGAAGTCGTGTAGAAGGCCCCGACTGTGGCGTGAATGCGTGAGTGGCGAGTCAAACTTTTTCATCTATCATTTAAAGCAGCACGGACGATCGAGCAGTGAGCACCACCACCCCTCACAATTCAACAATCACACCCCCCCCCCCCCCCGACACACACAAACACATAACACACATCAACACGACACAAAACTACCGCGAAAACAAAAATTCGACACAGCAGTTACTCAAAGCAGGGAGCAGCCTTTGTGCTCCAGAATATCGGCCCAACATAAATACAGCAGGAGAGCGAACGGCTTGTTGCAAGAGCAAAACTACAGGGTGCAATAAGCGTCTAAAAAGCGGGGTGGAAATTTAAAAGTCCGTTGAATTAAAATTACTGGAAACCAAGCACCTCAGTCCAAGGCGGCTAACATTTATTTAATTCTTTTACTTTTCGTGCTTTCTTGCTGAGTGTTTTTTTTTCGTATGAATTTTTGCGTCCCTTTCGCTGAAAGGGACGCAAAAATACCGTCACCACAGCAAAACCGTCCGCAGAGCACTTCCAGCAGATGACTGACTGACTCACCCGCGGCCGGCAAACCCGGCAAGGGTGCAAAGTTAACGGCCCAGGCGCCGGCGGCGGGTCGGCCGGCAGCCAACCCTGCGGCCGTCTGGTGGCCGAGGCCAAGGTGGCCGAGGCCTAGTTGACCGAGGCCTAGTTGACCGAGGCCTAGTTGGCCGAGGCCGAGCCGGTCGGCGGGGCTGAGACGCGGCTCGAGCCCCGCGCACGACCTGCACGGTGGGATGCCTGCAAATTCAGGACCGATTTCAGGACACATGTACACCAATTGTTTTTTTTGTTTATTCTCGCGGTTCTTCGAGGCGATCGGTGAGCGGCGGCGGGGCCAGAGCACAGTGGGCCAGAAGGCCGATGAGGGCGGCCAAAATGCCGGACGCGTTCTGAGCTCCAGAGCCGGTAAATGGGACTCGAAACGAACGGGTGACCCCACCAATGGATTGCTCTCCGAACGAGGAATCCGCGGCTGGGGTCACCCGTTCGGTTCGAGTCCTGAGCGACGCTCTGGGGCTCAAAACGCGTCCGAGATTTTGGCCGCCGGCGTCGGTCTTCTGGTCCACTGTGCGAAGGCAAAGGCAGTGGACCACGGCACAGCCAGGCAGCTAAGGAAGCCCGAAAGCGCCAAGCGGCAGGGGCGGATCCAGAATCGTCTTGAGGGAGGGGCAACGCTTTTTGCCTACCAGCACGGCAAAATGCAGCTCGCACCATCCTTACAGGCGCCTCTCTAGGGGTTGAAAAAGCCAGAGTTGCCCCCTTGAAATCCGCCCCTGAAAAGCGTGGACCTACACTGGCCAGGGGGTGTCAATGTGGTTCTCCCCATTCTCTTACCGCCCTGTATTTTTTTCTCATTTTCATAAAAAAAACTTTTTGCTGGGCTTGTGCCGTCACTGCACAGTGTCGAGGGGCCGGCTCGGGTTTCCTTACCTCTGAGGGAGAGCGGGCGGTCGCTGGGGTCCGCCTGGGCCGTGGCCAGCATGACCAGGGTCATGAGCAGCAGCGGGGCGGCCAGGGCGCGCGCTAGCATGGCGAGGCGGAGCATGACGGGGTGCTGGGCTGCCGGGTGCAAGGCCACTGCAAGGTCACTGCAGGGTCACAGGGTCACTGAGGGCTGCCGGTGGCCACCTGGGCGGCGCTGGAGACCTGCTGGCGGTGTCACTGGAGCAGTGTCACTGACTGCGGACCGGACTCTACTGGGCCGGAGGCGGCGGAAGTGGCGTACATATCCACGGCCGCAACGCCGCGCCGCGCCCCGCCGCGCCCAGCCACCCTCATCCCCCCACCTGCAGCCCCGAGCCGACGCCCCTCCCTCCGCGTTGCGCGACCGTCGCTAATACTCCTTGCGGGGCGAGGCGGCATGGCGGCATCAGCAGACCGATTCCGAGAGTCGTCGCTCTGTCTCTCTCGCACCCAAACGGGACGCCCCATGAGTGCGACAGAGACAGAGCGACGAGAAAGCGACTCTCGGAATGAGTCTGCTGGCGCTAAGCAGCAGGGCGGCGCTGGTCCTATGGTCCCGGCCGGTCCGGGAAGGCGACTTTATTAATATCAGTTAGACCGCGGACAAGCAAGCGAGGCCTAAAGCCCGCCCGGCCGCCTCCGTCGCCCTCTGTCTCTGTCGCACTCTGTCCCGTTCGGGTGCGAGAGAGACAGAGCGCTGTTCGGAAAGAGCCCGCTGCCTCCGCCCTGCTTACCGTCTGGCCGGGCCGGTGGCCGGGCCGCCCCGCCACCCGGACGCCAGGGGGAAAATGTGGAGACCATTTCGCCCAGGGAACGGTTTGCTTGAATGTAGTTGCCGCCTTCTTTTAACTTTCGTCTTGGAATGAGAAAATTTGGCTTTAGACAGGGGAAACATTGCTTGGCTCCAGCTCTCAGGTCAAAGTCTTTGAAGAAGAGAGCGTCCAGTGAAGATTGGACTAAAATTTGGGTCAAGTTTCGAAACGATACGAACTTATAGTACAGTATCAGTCCGGGAATCATTCCGAACTATCTTGAACTTATTTAAAAATTATTTTGTTCTATCAACGAAGGGCACCCAAAAAAGAAGCAGTTGCCATTCCCGTAGAGAACATTCAGAAAGCGTGGTGGCCCGGAATCGTGTAAACAAGTGGTCACCCTAAACTGATTAAAATCACTCTATAGAGTGCAGGTTGCACCGCTCGGTGCGGTGCCCCTTTCATCTTACCCTCTGCCCTGGAAATAACAACACACGATAGGTTCATTTTAGGGAATCGCAGTGCGGGCTGCGCAGACTCACAGACACACAAAGAGGCGGAGGGGGAGGGGAGGAAGTCTGGGGGAAGTCCCACACGCCAGTAGCTCCGGTGTGACGGAGGGGTGGGCGAGGGAGGGGAGGGGGGAGAGGGGCGGGGGAGGGGAGGGTGTGGGTGTCTTCTGGCGCACCTCCATTGTTAAGTGAGGACACTTTATGGGCCGGGGAGAAGGGAGGCGCGGGGATTAGAGGCAGGGCCGAGGAAGCAGTCTAAGGAGAACGTACGTGCCACGTGTCCGTGGGGTCGGGAAAACGGGGGTGGGTGACGGAGGTACCAGTGAATCCGCAGCTTCGAGACAAAATATTGAGGTCTGGGAAGCCGCGGAAGGGAGTACTCGACGCGACTCGGAAAGCAGCAGCGGATGATTCCAAAACACCTCCGAGCGTAGCCTTTCACAGGTGGAGGCGGCCAAAAGTGGGACTCGAACCGAACGTGTGACCCCACCAATGGACTGCTCTCCGAACGAGAGATCCATTGGTTGGGTCACACGCTCGGTTCGAGTCCTATTTAGCGACTCTGGAGCTCAAAACGCGTCTAGAATTTTGGCCGCCTCCACCGGTCCTCTGGACCACGCCACGGTGAAACGTCTGCTGAATCCAGAGAATGGCGAGGGATGCGTGTTTTGGCTGCGGGGTGGGGAGCGGAGCAGTGCTCCTTGTAGTGGTGCTTACGCCGCAGTAATGTACCCGCTCGGGGACCCCCCACCCCTGTCTCCCCTTCCTTTCCACAGGACGAGAACAAATCTTCGTGGACGAGGCGGCGGCGGCGAACATGGACAACCCGAGCCTCGCACCCTGCACTGACTCCGCTCTGCGTCCGCTCTGCGTCATCGCTCTGTCTCCGTCGCACTCATGGTGTGTGCCGTGGCGGTGCGAGAGAGACAGAGCGACGAAATGACTCTTCGGCTTCGCCCCCCGCCGGCCCCGGCATAGTGGTCCGCCTGCGAATTAGGCCAGCGAGCAGAGCAGAGCGTGCAAGCGAGGCCGGCCCAGCGGCCCAGCGGCCTCATGGGCAGCATGGGCCAGCCGGCCAGCCCACAGGGGAAACTTTTCACCTGTTGCGAGGCAGGGGGGGGGGGGCTCTGCAAAGTACGTCGCGCCGTTAATCCTGTGGGTCCGGGACGCGGACAGATTTTGTCACACTTTTTCACCGGCGAAAGTTGTTTGCATAGTGGTGTGGTGGGGGCAGGGCGGGCCAAGGGGCGGGCAGGGACCCATCCGACCCACGAAGCCGGACCGGGGTCCGAACAATTTCCACGGAAAAGGGCTCCGCTCCACCCCCGCCACCCCCGCGCGCGCTTCCAACACTCCCACGCAGCGCAGCGCACCGCGCGCTCTGCTGGCCGCCGGTGACGTCATCAAGCACGTCCTGCGGCTGGAGGTCTGGAGGGTGACGTTATCAAGCACGCCCTGCGGCTGGAGGTCTGGAGGGTGACGTTATCAAGCATGCCCTGCGGCTGGAGGTCTGGAGGGTGACGTCATCAAGTGCGTCCTTGGGCTTTGGGTATAGAATGTGACGTCATGGGACCCGGAGCCTAGAACCCTTGACATCATCAAGCACGTCCGGGGGCTAAGAGGTCTGGAAGGGTCCGGGACCCGTGCGAGACCCGTGTGCCGGAAGGACTCGGTGTTTTGCTGGTTGCGCGGATGGACTGTGAATTCGATATCGCTCTACAGTGTGCCTAAGGGTGCCAGGGAGGTAGGCAACCCATCCTCCACAGAAATAAAACTTCCTGCTTGTGTACCACTGGGCTTATTTAAATCATCTTTCAAAATCATTCTCAATTTTCTTTTTCATAATGGAAATTTGGATTTATGGCTTGGTGGCCAGAAAAAAGGACATCTCCGCTTCACTGGGGCAGCCTCTGTGGGCCGCGTGGCCGAGGCTAGCCGAGGCGCGAGGGCTGCTAGTTGATTTATCGATTGGCAGAGGACAGTGTCGAACTACTGCTTGCCTGCTTGCAGCCCGACCGGGCTGACCGGACCAGAGCGACTGCCCCAGCCCCCTTCCCCCTTCCCCCTCCCCCGACAGAGATGTATGCCTCATGCAATTAGCTTCAGCCGTGTCCGCGCGCGTTTCGGCCTTGTGTCCTTTAATTTTCTTTCCAATTGGGATAACCAGTTAAAACTGGAGCGGAGCATTTATCCCGGACTATCCATGACTGCCGAGAGAACCGGGAAACCTGAACGGGACTGAGCAAAGGGTGCCGGCGTTGCCCGCCCCCGAAGCCGCCCCTCTGATCCCAGGAAAAGGAGTACTACAGGTTGCCGAACCCACCCCGCAAGTGCCCAAAGGGTGGCAACCCTTTGTTGTTTTTTTTTTTTTTTGGGGGGGGGGGATAAGATCAAAACAAAGAACAAACTTTAAGTAACACTCGACCAAGATTTCACTTTCCTGGGGGCCCTGACCCCAGGTCGCCCCAAGTCATTGACTCTGTATGTTTGGTTGCCTACCACACTGGACTTTGCATACTCGGCCCTAAACTGTCTTTCTGTAACGAAAAACTGGAGTGATTTGAGCATGCGCCTGCGAGCGTCAAAGTGGTGGTCTACCTTCCGGGCGCTGTGCCACAGATGGGATAGAGAAAAATAAGAGCATCAAGCCCGAGCGTGGCACACAGAGACATCTCAGGTCGCCCGATGATATCTCTACCCTTGGTTCCGTTCTGATCTTATGGCTCTCCCAATAATTGCGGTGTTTCATTCGAAAAGCTAAAAAACGTAGCGCGGTGACTTTTTTCTGGTGGTGGCATCTGCTACACCTGGTGCAGCGCCATGGTCGGCCATTGCCTGGACATTAGCGCCACTCTTGTTTTTGTTGTTTATGTTTGTCGTGGTCCCATCAGGGAGGGTCGAGAAAGAAACACATCATACTTTTTTCTTTAAATATTTATTTATCTCTGCCGAGATACTTTAAACCATGGCATATAATAGCTCTAATAAAAGAAGGTTAAACCTTTCAACAACATATATAAATTAAAAAAGAAGAAAAAAAAACATTAGTACGATAAAAAAGACAAAAAGAATGGGGAAAGATTTTACAAATACATAAAGTAGCTGGTAATAAATTCTGTTTGCAAACATATAAGCTTAATTCATAAAGAAGAATGCAAAAAAGGGCATGTTAAACTTGGGAGTCATAACAATGAACAAACAGTAAACCATTCCAATATAACTAAGAAATAATTTGTAATCCACAGTCTAATGTAAACAATACTTAATTTTGACAAGTTCAAAATCTAGTTGTATCATACATTAACATTAAAAACATTACAACAACAAATACCAGGGGAAAGGTTGTACAGCTATGTAAGTGATACACCTTAAAATGTAATGGAGAACTGTTTATCCTTTATAAGGAAACAAGCGAAACACAAGCCAACTACTCCCAAATTAAAATAGACATAAACATCAAACGACATACATTTCAACAACACTTAAAAACAACACAAATCTGAAGTCTTCTCATCACTATCTTACCATTTATGTCAAAATCTCTATCATAAAAAATATAACTTACATAAAGATAATGAAATTTATTTGAGCAGCACTGTTACCTAACTACAATTTCATACATTTTAATGGACAATGCTAATTGAAAAAAAAAAAAAATCATTGGTGCAGGAGACAGTAAAACACCAGGTCAATGAACATCAACACCACTTCAAAAACATTAAGGAATGAAACAGTTGCAAAACAGTACTTAAAAATCATGTAACCTGTGGAACCCAACACCTAGTTGGAAGACTAGTCAAATTTCTCAATGTCACTGAATTACAAATACTATAACAAATGCAGCTTCATAGCCACAAAATAATTAACTTGCATTTATAAATGCAATTAAAGGCAAGGCAAATTCATTGCATAAGGTAAAGAGTGATTGTTACTAGTAAGTGAGCATAAGTACGCAAAGCCTCATGGACATTTGAGGAGTGTGTAGGACTAAATTTGGGCAGGTGGCATCTCTAATAATTGTTGAAATAACTTATCATTAGTTTTGATACTTTTTGACTAACCAAAGCCAACATCTACCAACTTTATGTTTCAATAACACAGCCATTTCGCCAATTGTTGGATATGCAGCTGGAAACTTCATTGCTTAGCTACGATCTGAGTTACTGAGGTTTCTTTAAATCAGATAGTTTAGGGTAGTCTACGAACTCAGTGCCATAGAACATGATGGTGAAGAAAGTAGCCATGACCATAAGACCCCAGAAGAGGATGTACAACAGCACTGCAGTTGTGTGTTCTGAAACAAAGAAGGGAACATGTCAAGTTTGGAAATAAACAAGTACAGTATTTTTATTGTACCCATTAAAGGTAAATTTCTGGTCTTATTACCTGATGGAGTAATAATGTTGGCAAAGAACATGGCAATTGCAACCAGCAGAATCAAAGGGAACTGTTGAAAAAGATGGAAGTAAATTAGTAGAGGCATTGACTGGTGTGTGTCTAGACTTAATTTAAGACAAGCTTTACTCACAGTAAGATACCGCCAACCCTTTGGCGCTTGAAGGGGACAAGGCCGAGTAAGCCCTTCACCATCTTCAATGATGTAGTTGCCAAGCAACAAATCAGTAGCATCCTGAATTAAAAAGTCAGATCATCAGTATATAAACAACCACAAACAAGACCGAAGCAGAAACAAAAAAAAATTTCTTACCTGTCGAAAACCATCAAAGAAATTGTTTTTGCAATATCTGATCAATGAATTCATTCCATCTTTTGCCAAACCCATTCTAGTACGTTTTCCAGTGCGAGTAAAGTCAGTTTTTAAGGCTCCTGTTCCTGAATACTGAATACTCATATAATCAGCATTATCAGCCCAGACAGTTCGGAAAAGACTTTCTAAGCCATATTCATCTTCAACCCGGCGGGCAGCAGGTAAAATTCCCAATTTCTAAACATGATATCAATAACAATTAGGGATCAAGCTTTAGGTATTAGGACTATTGGCAGTATATCTAACTTTTAAAATATTGACTGACCTGGAGTGCATTTGTGAGACTACGCTTGGCCAACATACTTTGAACAACATTGGTTCTATCCAAGCAATCAATGCAATTCGTTCTGAAGACCCCATCTTGTTGAGACACTAGGGTACCATCCCGAGTGAGCAGGAACATAGAAAGTTCATCTTGCTCATGAGCTAATCTGTCAAGAAGAATACTGAGACGGTCCCAACGCATTTTACTGCACTCAGCATGAAAGTCAAAAGCTTCATATCTGAAAAATAAAAACAAAGACGGTTGGACAAGGCAGCAGAGACAATCTTATGTAGAAAGGCAAACATGGTTCGCCCAACAGAGGGGTATCTGTGCATCTTACTTAATTATTAATTTTTTTTCACATACCTTATATTAGGGTTAGAAACTTGGTTCACAATGTTGGAAAAAGCCTTTTCAAGAACATCTTCAGCACCACGATGATCAATCTATAACAGAAAATTTAAATTCTGCTGTAGTTTTTCTAATGTTTTTGGATGGCAAAATTCAGTATATTATGGTTTTTTGAAGACACAACCGAGATGTTAGTAAGGAAATTACTTACCAGGTTCACTAAAACCTGTCTGCCATAGTTGAAAATCTGAGTGGTGAAGTGCCTGCTTGCTGCCTCTGCATGATTCTCACCCACGACAAGGGCTGGTTTGGGTTTGTACTTCAAATTGGGTAACTGATTCCAGAAGAGAGGAATGGAACCTCGAGTCTACAAAAAAATGGAGTAAAACATGGGTTCAAAATTTTACTGACCAATAAAAAATACCACAGGAAGGTTAAAGTTCTTACCTGTACAAAGGAATATTTATCACCATTCGACTCAACAATTTGTTCTGTTTCCACGAAATTTGCAACATTTCCTTGCGAGTCAATACCCCTCATAAAGAGCCGAGTTCCAGCTCTGAAACGGCAGCGTCTTGATACAACAGTCCATGAAAATGCCTTTCCTTGAATGGTATATTGGTTAATAGAGATAACTGACACATAAATTAAGGTTGATACCAATACCTAGGGCATCTATGGTTAAAATAAATGACCCTATAGTCCTTGACACAGAGAAAAAAAAATTATAACTAGAGTTCAAAAGGATACAGCCATGCATAACAGGAACAAAGAATGAATGCACATCAGAATGATGAGCGATTTCTCGCAACAGATGTCCGTTCCACAAAAAGCGTTGGTCTGCTCTCTCATGAAGGGCTGTCTGTAAAGGAAGAAAATATTTGCTTTAGTGCAGGTAAAACAGTCATACCACACAAATTCTAAAAGGTAACCAATATTCTTACTTTTAAAAATTCTGGAGTAATATTATGCAGCCTTTGCAACGTGTGGGTCAAATCATAAGTGTATGAGAAGTACAGATAGGGGGTTGACAATGCATTTTCGAGCATGGAAACATACAGCTTGTTATCAGCCATCTGGAAACACAACAGTACATAATTATTATTTAACATTTTCAAGCTAATAAATACAGAAGCACTCTGCAGCCAAAAATACTCCCAAGTTCATGATTTCACCTGGTTTTCGGTAAGATGCAGAAGTGTTCGGGAGTACGGAATGACTTCAGTCTCAGTGACTTGGAAAATTGGTTGACCATTGATAGTACCAATGTGCTTTTTGCCTACTATCACCACCAGATAATTTCCGGCAAGAAGACGAATGGTGCCCATGATTCCACTTATCAATTTGCAGCTTGACGAAGGTGGGATTTGGCCTTTGTTAACTGAAAAAGAAGAAAATTTTAAATATGGAGGAAGAATATGAAGAAAGGTAACAAAAACAGTCAAATTTGGATAAAATATCTATACAAACTGCAAATTCCCAGAGATCCATTCTGACACTTACCTTGCAATGAAATATCCTGATTGACTCGATCAATAACCATAAGGTTGCCATTGCCACCCAGGGGCTCAAAGAAAAACTTTTCTGGGGTTATGTAGCTGGAATTAAATGCAAAATTAAAATAATTGAAAGAGGGCGAAGGGCAAAGGTTATGTGCAAATTATCTTTCCAGAATATCTGCAAAATTTATTGTTTAACGTCTAGACATGACATTAGAGATGCGTGACATCAACTGCAGTACATGAGGGAACACGACTCAAAAGCTGACAGGTGATGTGTTAAGTTAATTACGAACATAACATGTATAAACAAACGTCATTTTCGGCGGCCTGGAAGAGTAGGAGTAAAGATAATACCAAATACTCACAGCTTGAGCTCACGATAGACTTCCGTAGCCATGATTGAGCTTGCCAGAATGAGATTTACTTGTTACGAGCAATTCGGGTGGATCGAAGAGCTTCAAATATTTTTTACCCTCCAGAAATTGGGTTGAAATTAATGCAGCTGGCTGCTTGGCAAGAAGCAGACAGCTTACTTAATGGGGATAAAATTATTCCGCTATGTAGCGATTTTTCATACGTCACACCTACATGCGCGTTGGCAAATAGTTCGTGAATAAATGACTCCCCGTTGTAAGTAAAAGGAAAAGTCGTTATACGGACGAAACCGATAAATAAGACTTAGCAATGCTGTGAATGGGCAAGGGTCTTGCTCAAATTAAAATGCGGTTCTCAGCAGAACAAGGCGGAATGGCCTTGGCCTTGTGTTTGTCAGCATCGCGCTATTTCTCATCGAGGGTGGGTTGTGGATTATGAATGGAAATAAGGGTCGCCGCGCCGGGTCAGCTGTCGTCCGGTCCGCGCAGTTGTTAAATCGCTTGTTGGTTGACCCGACCCCATCGCGTCAGTTCATCTTCGACTCGCCGTTTCTGTGCTTCGCCATTCCGGCGCAGGGCCCCTCTGCTCTGACCGAAGGTTTCTCCAGTCGCCCCCTGACTTGCACTCCTGCAAGCGAGTTGTCCATTCCGGGAACAGCTCCAATCATCGCGGTTCAAGGATAGTGCAGGAGGCCCGTGCCTCCCCTTTGTTTGGAGGATGGGGCTGCATGCGGGCTTTGTCCTGCTCCTGCTGGGCTTCCTGGCTTCGGCGGCTCTTGGCGATAAGTCCGACGCCGCGCCCAAGTTCAGCGACGTCTACACCGTCAAGGGCACCCTCTACATCCCCTACGCCGAGATCCGCGAGCCCTTCTACGCCTGGTACGATGCCAAGTCCAGGAACAGCAGGATCGACTACTATGGGGGTGAGTGGATGGGCTCAATGGGCCAGTGCCTTATCTGGCCTCTTATCTGCATGCAGCGGTACAGTAGAGTACTACGTTCGCACATCCTCCTCGAGGGCAGTAACCTTACGTTGAGTCATAGGCCATAGGTCTGTGGGTCTTGATAAAATATGTGGCTGTGATGGAAACTTCCCTTGTTGCAACAACAATTTTTCTGACGATTTTCGATGATTGTTTACATTTGAGTGCATACTTTCGCATTAGATGAGACTATCTCAATCATGGATTTCGTGAATTTCTTGTCATGAAGTGAACCATGTGGTGAAGCACGAGGATCTCTGTCTTATGTCTGTGCCAGAATTGTCAATTTCTCCCTGGCTTTTGCCCAAATTCTGAGCTTTGTTGTAATCCATCATACTTTTGTTTGTTCTTCTCACAGGTATGGTCAAAACATACCAGCTCGGCAAGTATGCCAAGTATGGCTCAAGTATCAAAATTGCTCCAGTTACAACAGAGACTCAGCTCAATGAAGATACCTGTCTTCAGGTGAATGGTACGAATGATATGATGATTGAGCCTCAGGGTATTGTTCCTGATCTGACTGGATTTGAGGTAAGCTTGTCACCATGCTGTTGCTCAATTTGCATGAAATACAATTTTTATTTGCTTAATCTGTTTTTTTTCCATGACAGAGTGTTGGCAGTGAAATAATGAGTGGTCAGACTTGTGAAAAGTGGCGGCTTGTTGACACCAAGGGAGACAAGGTCAACAAATACACCATTTGGATCAGGTACAAGGTAAGGTGAATATTCTTTGTGTCAGTTTTTGTGCTTTGCAAACTTCAATTAATTTTTGTTCTCTTTCATTGTAGAAAGGTCGTGGAGGCAAGAAGATTGCCATCCCTGTCCGATATGAAATGAAAGGCTTCAACTCTCTTCTTGGCTCCCACTTCGACCATTACTTCCTAGAGTATGACTGGTTTTCAGTCGACCCCATTGATGCTGATGTTTTCCAAGTACCCAGAGGTAATTGAATCATTTCCATGTGTGTTATTGGGCAATAATTGAACTGAATGCAATACTGCATAACCGACTGCAACAATATTTCAGACATGAAGTGTGAGAGCTTCCCTGGCCCTGGAGCAGACCATGTTGTGACCTTCAATCCAATGCAGGAGTTCATTCATGGAGATGATAGGCATGTTACTGCTGCTTTCGATGAATTCTTGCGAACCCACAAGAAGCACTACTCTCGTGATACTGAGCATTCAAAGCGACATGGTATCTTCTTGCAAAACCTGAGGTATGAAAATTTTGTGAGCATACAAAAACTTTTCTTCTTTGAATTAAATTTTGATGGAAGTATTCTGCCTCTTGGCTTGGTACTGAAAGCTGTTGCTGACTGTTTCAGGTTCATTCACTCCACTAACCGAGCTAACAAGGGCTATCAACTGGCTGTGAACCATTTGGCAGACAGAACTTCTCTTGAACTGAGGGCTCTCAGGGGGAAGCAACGGTCCACAACTACTTACAATGGAGGTTCACCATTCCCGTATGATGCCAAACGTATGGCTGCTGATGTCCCCTCTGAATTTGATTGGCGCCTGTATGGAGCTGTAACTCCTGTCAAAGGTGAATCCATCAACCTCTTGTTTGCTGCAATTTAGAGAGTTCATTTATTAACAGTTTTCCAAACTTTTCAGACCAGTCTGTTTGTGGTTCATGTTGGAGTTTTGGCACAACAGGTGCAATTGAGGGAGCTTACTTTGTTAAATATGGCAAGCTTTTGCGCCTCTCTCAGCAGGTACTAACTGTAAAATTGCTGAGTATATCATAATCTCAAAATAATCATACGTACTAACTTCCCTTATTTATTCATTAGGCACTTGTTGACTGCAGCTGGGGCTATGGTAACAATGGTTGTGATGGTGGTGAAGACTTCCGCTCTTACCAGTGGATGATGAAGCATGGTGGTTTACCTACAGAAGATGCTTATGGACCATACTATGGACAGGTACTATCTGAGGTCAACATGACACACTGCCTTTTCTATTTGTGATGAATAACTAACAAATTTCGATGCACTTTTAGGATGGATATTGTCACATTGACAATGTAACACTGTCTGCTCCGATCAAGGGCTATGTCAATGTCACATCCGGAGATGCTGATGCTTTGAAAGTGGCTGTTGTTAAACATGGACCTATTTCAGTTGCAATTGATGCTTCCCACAAAACATTCTCTTTCTATGCTAATGGTGTATATTATGATCCTAAATGCGGTAAGTTTCTATTTTCTAGCATCAAGTAGTAAGGAAATATGATTTATGATGACTAAGCAATACATAAATTCTGCATTTTTTTTACATAGGAAATACGACAGAGACCTTGGATCATGCTGTTTTGGTTGTCGGATATGGTAATCTGTATGGCAAGCCTTATTGGCTAGTGAAGAATTCCTGGTCTAACTACTGGGGCAATGATGGCTATGTTCTGATATCTCAGGAGAACAACAATTGTGGTGTAACATTAGACCCGACTTATGTTATTATGTAGTTAGCATAATTCCAGATCAAATCTAGCATATCCTTAATTTTTTTTTGTACTTCTGTAATAAAATAACCCAAAATAAAACTTTTTACAAAATGATTTCTTTCTTTCTTTGAAGCTAATAAAACATGTTGATGAAGAAAATAAATTGGGAAAATTATTCCCCAGAAAAACATTAAATGCAACAATTCATGACTCAGACCAATCTCCAACATCTATGATGCTTGGATAATGGCTTCCACCACAAAAACAAACAATGAAGTGATACATATCAACCAACTGGACCTTGTCATTCTGCATAAGTCATATTAAGGCTTCAACGAGCATTTAACTAGTAGGGTGATGGAAATAAAAAGCTGTGGACTACTGGCTTACCTTATATTTATACATTTTTTAAAAATGACTAAATTAACTGGGATCAGAGGACCAAATTTTAAGCACTTGAGATAGTTGTAAAATTTTTGGGAATGAAGTTCACATTTATCCCTACACAGTCTTGCAGATTTAACTCATAAACTTGTCCTTATTCTGGGATAAAATCTTTGCAGATGATTTGGCATCCAAGAATAAACTTCCAACTTCCTGAATATCTTCCTTGGCTATATTAGAACGACCATTCACTCGTGCTGTGAGTGATGCTGGTGTCAAAAGTTGTACAGCATACCTGAAAAATTTTCAAATAAATTAGAACATTTGGATTCTGTAGTATCAAAGGCCACACAGATAATTTAAAATCCTTACCGCAAAGTTGTGGTGCTTCCAATTTCACTTAGGACTGTAAGAGCATCATCATCAATCACGAGTCCCTCCGTTTGACCTCGAAGCTTAAGAATAAGTTCCAGCTCGTCACGAGAGTAAGGTAGAGTACGGATAATTAGCAAACGATCTAACAAGTCCAATGGAACACCATGTGGTGAGAGGATGTCTTCAGTTCCCCTAAACAAAAAAAAAAAAAAGTGGGGCATTGTTAGTGATGAGATAATATTTAAACCTCACAACTGAGAATAAAGAAACGGATGATAATAATTCACCTAATAACACAGCGTCCTCTGTTAGTGGCGAAGATAACAATGGGGGCAATTGCACTTTCAAGGGCCCTGTGCAGGTACGTGAAGCATTCAATATCCAGCATGTGAACCTCATCAATAAAAAGAACACCAGGTACAAGCTCAGCAATTCCTTGGTCAATATATTTGTTTACTACTTTATTTATTTCTTTTCGAAGCTTGTCTGAAAGGAAGGAAAGATAAGGCCGGTTGGTTGTAATTGCATACGATGCATAGAAATCAAGAATTAGAAAAAAGATAAGCTGTACTGTACCTGTGATTTCAGTTTTCTTGGGCTTCATAAGCTGCCCCATCATAGATAAAATATCTTGTCCACCCTGAGGTCTTGCATTAGCGATATCCAAGTCATGCAAAGTAACATCCTGAATGACTTCTTTCTTCTTGTGTACATCACCTTTAGGAAGAGGAACATACTCTTCTGCCTGTGGACAGGTTGCAAAAGAATATGATAATGAAGAACATTCAGAAGATAAGTTTGATATCAGCTTTTTTAGTTACCTCAAGGTCAAACTCTGTTGCATATGTATCACTTCTTCCCTGCCGTTTGACAGCCCCACTGTTAGCTTCGATGTAAATTACGTCTCCTCCCTCTACCTTTTCCTTTTGAAGACTCTCATAGACAGATGGATCTAATTTAAGTTGTTTGGTACCTTTCGCTGTTTTAAGCCCAATTATGACATGTGCCACAGTCTTTCCGTAACCTTCAGATCAAAAAGTATTAAAAATCAGGATTTAAATAGGAAAAAAAAAATAAGTGTCTGATGTAACTGATTTTTCATACCTCCCAGAGGATTTTCAGTTTCCACAGGAGTCAACTCAGTCACCTCTCCTTCATAGACCTCTTTGGTCTCTTTGATACGGAGACCAATTGCTCTTCTGAAGTTTTCCATCAATACCTCTGTTTTCTTAATCTCTGTGCTGTAGACTTCAGAACCAACCATTGGACAAAATGGCACCTGTGTCATGAGACAAGCAATTAAATAGATGATACAAATAAACAAGGATTAAAAGAAATAAAGTTTTAAAAAGTTGTTAGACCTTTGAGCCCAACTCTTGAGCGATAGCTAAGGCGATTGCTGTTTTTCCTGTGCCTGGAGGTCCCGCAAGCATGACAGCGCGGCCTGCCATTTTCTTGGACCTGATCATGTCCACGACAATCCCTGCCGCCTGAAATCAAAACAAAAACAATTATATTAGAGCAGACCCTTCAAAACAATCAACGCTAAATTTTCAATAATGCAGTGCTCATAAAACTTCGACAGGCAACTCGTTGTGAAGGTCACCTTGTCAAGCAATAACAAGTAAAAATTGAAAATATCTCTTAAATACACGATTTAGAAAATTCTCTGCATTAATGCCATGCTAAATCAGTACCGGAAAATTCACTAGGCAGAGAAGGCAGAGCACGCATGGTATAGGTTATGAACCGAGGGAAGTGCTTGTTGGTCGCGCCACGGCCAAACAACGAGTAATGAGCCGCCAAGCGGACCGTGGAAACAGGGAGGACGGTCGCGGCTGGCGTCGAGGGACCTTGACTGGAAAACTGGAGAAGAAATGGGATTTTATGCTCACCTCACGTGCATCCTTTTGTCCCACCAAGCCGGCAGCCATGCCGATGGCAGTACCATTATCGTCCAGCCCCAGCCCCTTGATGTGGCTGTGCGCCGAAATTCGCTGGGTTTTCGCCGTACTTTTCACTTCTTCAATCTTCATCTTGAACGACAAGCTCTGGGAGAAACACACTTAAATGCAAACGTCAAAGTGACGATGCGCTGCTCAGCTCAAACGAACAAGTTTGTTGCCATAACAACAACAACAGCATCTCGCGGCGGGATGGAGCATTCTCGTACCAACCTCACAGGACAAAAGAACTGCTTTTATTTTCCCTACATGAATAGTTAGAGGTGGATCTCATCTTAAAGATTATCTTCCTCGTTTAAATCGTTCTTTCGCTTTCATAACGTCAGTTTCAATTCAATACCTCAACAGGAAACAAAACGACGTCTTGGTAATAACTTTGCTCCGTCAGCTACCATACAAGTTCAACATATGAAAAATTCGTAAATTCAAATTTATCCATCATCCATCTCTCTGATTTGACTACTGTACTAGGACAGTGTTCAAAGATAATTTTGTGTTATCTATTTATTTTGTTACCACTTGGATTTGATTTTGTAGAATGGCATTCCCTACTTTGGACTCGTTCAATGAGACTGACGTATGTTCAACATTATATTTAAACAATCAATCGTTCAAAATTTACATGATTTAATTAAGGGTGTCCTGTTTGTTCATGGTTTGGTCGTGTCTCTGTTTCAGAAATTGAAACTAACTGTTTTGTGTGATGTGCGGAAGATATGCCAAGAGGTTGGAAGCGGCCTTACGACTAAAGTTTCTTTTAACAAACAATCATTTGAATTAATTGCCGAGATGGTTTGGCACAAAATACAGGACTATGGGTCTGATCTCGAGCATTTTGCACGGTAATAATACTTTATTGAATTTTGAGTACTTCATTGTATTTTACTGCCTGTCATCATGTCCTATAATCATGATGAGATAATATTGCTTTATTTTTCAGCCATGCCAAACGTACCACAGTAAATGGAGATGACGTTAAACTACTGGTTCGCAAAAATGAAAGCTTAGTAAGTCTTCTATTTGTGTTGTCTAATTAATTTTGTTTGAAGTTTCAAAAGTCACAATCATAGACAACCAGGCTATGTCTATGTCACAATTGTGTTATTTTTTTCAGAGGGAGCGAATATTAAAGATGACTGAGGATTTAAGTTCTGCCTCTTCATCCAAGAAGAGGAAGAAAGACAGGGACTCCGATGCTGGGTCAGATGTAGGCCAGCTTGAAGATAATCCAATTGGGAATTTCGATATTGATGATATTCTAGATGATTGACTGGATTTTAATGTAAGTGGATGACAGAGAAAGGAGTAAAGTGTAAGGGAATTTTGTGTCTGTCTGAGGGTTTCAAGTAATTCATAGGACTTTTTGATAAATGCATTCATTCTCTTTCAACATAACAATATTATAATTTCTCCTCTATGAAGACAACAACTCACTAAAACTAAAACAACTAAAAGTAACTTATTGCACTCATTCAAAACATTCTTACTGGAAACAAATTAGAGAAGTGTTCACAGTGTAGCAGTGACACTGCCACTGAAAATTTCAGTGTGTCATTTTTATCAGCAAAATGCATTCAATATCACAATTTTTGTTGTTGTTGAGAGATTCACATAAGTTGTCTGGTCCAGTTTGTCTGATCTGATCTACATGAATTAATTTAATATTTTCTGGAAAACAAAACTTTTTTTTTTCAGGGGAACTAGTGCATAAGAAGTGTTTGCTAAATGCTAAACTTTCAGTAAATAATACAAAACACAGATGTGCACTTTGAAATACAGTAATACTGTTTGTTTATAAATATGCGTGTACATGAATTAGTTAAGGAATTTTTGGCTCGGGAGTAGAGTGAAATATGGGGGATTCATTAAGCTATAATATGTATAAAAAAATCTGTTTGCACAGAAAGCCTCTGATAAACCAGGCAATGTGTGCCACATAAAAGAGACGGTCTGAATGAGGATTTCAGCTCTATGGCACCTTACAAGCCTAGAGGTAAAACCAAGCACTTGTCCCAGTAAATCAGGGTCCAGCTGTGCCATTCTGTATAATCATGATCTTCATGGGTCAGGCGCCCATTCAATGAAGATGGCACATCACAATCACAATAGTTATGTAAGCTTAAAAGACTAAAATCTGTTCCATTGGGTAACAATAGCTTGTCCATGTAGTTTAAAAACACCACTGTCCATTTAAAGAGGGACCACAATGAAATGTATACTTTTCAGCAATTAGTCACTTATTTTAAACACTTTGGCATTCTTCTCTCTATCTTCCAACTGCTAGTTATGACAACTGCAGTTATTGCAAATAAAACAAACTTTGTCACATATCTTTACCACATGTTATAATACAGTTGAATAACTCTCTTATCTCAAGACAGAAAGAGTCTGCTCTTCTATTGAGGTCTTGAGACTGACTAAGGAAAGGAAAATTTGTTAAGGTGATGGAACATTATCATCTTCTAACAAATCCGAGTTAAACAAAAACATTTCAGTGATTTCCCTTTACAGAAGTAGATAAGATATTTACGCCTTTAATTATTTTAAGACTAGAGATAACACTCTTCGTATTTGACAATTAAATCACAAATCCATTAAATTGTTATTTCACTTCAAGAGGATCACCCTGCATGCAGCTTGCATCAGCACAAAGGTTTCAGTCAAAGAGCAGTGCTTCAATACTTTCACTTTGTCACAGGCTTTGGGTGCAGGTATCTTCACTGCTTCTCGCGGGCAGGAATTGACATTGACACATCACAAAATTGAGATGTGTGCACCTTGGGCAACAATCTTCTGCTGAGGTAAACACTGTTTGATTTCTGCCCTTCATGGTTTTATGAAACAAGGCCTTTAGACATCATTCGCACAGTGTTTTTTAGTGCTTGTCTTTTGTTGCAGAACCAAATTCGAATAACTTCTCGGTCATACCCAAGTTGATGAGCAAGTGCTGTGATTTCCGTACCTGAAATGAAAATGGAAATGGTAACTCCTGTAGTGTACATACGACATGTCTATTATCTTTTAACTGAAGTTCTATGGTCTGTACCTGATGGATGGGTGTTTCTCTCAAAATGGTGATTTAGCAGTTCAAGTGCTTGTGGTGTAAACGATGTCCGCCTTTTTCTCTTTTTGGATGGTTCCATTCCAATGAATTCAGTCAGATGATTTTGTCCAATTTTGTACCTGATAAAATTTCAATTTATGAAACTTGCACTTTTAAGTCCGTATTTGGTTGTACACATGAAAAGGCAATCAAAACATACCTCTCTTCGGCCTCTTTCATCCAGTGCTCCAAAACAGGTTTAATCTTTTGTGCACTTTTGGGAGTGATGTCAAGCTTTTCAAACCTGTAATAAAAGGAAAACCTTTGATTAGAAACATTAGGTATCTTGTTACTGAGCCAACTTTTCATATAAATTTGAATAAAGACTAATGATCTCATTTTGACTTATCTAATGCAAGGTGTATTTCTACCAGACAATATACAGTTATACAGGTTGTCATTAGCAAATCTATGGAGAGACTATTCATGCAATATTTGGTCATGCTAAGAATTAAAATAGAATAGATTATACCAAGCAGCTACAAAGAACCACAAGAAACATCAAATCTACCAATGCTTAATTACAGAATTATGATAATTAAATTATACGAGCTAAATCTGAGGTAGGGACTGCTTTTGATAAATTTGGTTAGATTATATTTGAGGCATAAACTTATTTCAACTCTTTTTTTAAAAGAAAAGAAAAGCCTAGCAAGTGATACCGGGAAGCAGTCAGCGCAAAGAAGTGCCACAACGCCCTAATGCCCTGGCTCACTGACCTACAAAAACAACATCTAGAAATTCAAACAATAAAATTTAGATTTCTTAACGAGAGAATTCTCTTGGTTGTTGACTGTGCGTTTCATGAGATACAAGCCTAACTTAGCCATTAGTTATTAAATAATTTTTTTTTTTTGTAAGTCCGTGAGATCAGGAATAGCAGAAGGCAGAAAAGGAAACAATTGGAACTTATGACGCATGTTAGAAAACGTAAGAATAATTTGTTAAACCATGTGCAACAGGGCTACCTCCAGTGCAAATGCCATGGCTCATGCACTGACAGTTTTCATTTTGGCATCATTTTTTTTAAAAGAAAATATAGACAAGTTCAACACTGAATTATCTTAAGTGCAAATCATAGGATGCAAAAATTAACCATCAGCAGCATACACCATTTTTAATACACTGAATAACTTTAATTTAAGGGGTACAATAAAAGTATACATTCCAAATGAAGATTAGTATATATGATTTTTATAATTGAATAAGATAGATCAAGTGGTTGACTTGTCACAAAAGCTGATCTGAAATCTTAGAATTATGTGAAGAAGTTGGTGAATCTTTTTCTTCAGAAGGAGTGCAGGTAGCCCATAATTAGTGTGAAAGACATGAAATGAAATGCCTTTTCCCAAACTGAGACCAAGGAATCAGCTTTGAAAATTTTAATAAAGCAACGGGCATGTATTATGAGTGACTAGCACAGGGCATAGCAATTGGAGGAACAAAATGCACCAACTCTTATCTACACTTCTGACTAGGTTTCCAAATTTATTTTACCTTATGTTTCAAGGATAAAGCCAAAGAAAAGTGAGGTGAAAGGGAGGATATAATAAAAGAATCAAAGGCAAATCCTTCAGAAGAGTAGGCTCCAATACACTGTTTACCATTGTATTATTAAAAAAAATTCAACCTAAAGACCACTGTGGTAATTCTGTTGCTATCCTGGTCAAAAATTTTCAGAGTGCATTGCTCTAGTCTGGCGAGTGCTTTTGAGTCCCGGTTAAGACATTTAGCAATACTTACTGATTGCAAAAGTTAATACATTCATTGCATGCCCAGTTCTAGTCACTAATATAAACGAACAAACAACGAGAAGAGAAGGAGTAAAACAAAATATAGAACTGGGAATTGTTTGACATACACATTTGGACGCTGGTTGGCTATCTGAGCGGCACATATCATCTGCGTGGCCAGGGCACTGGGGAGAGAGATACACACAGGCAGACAATGTTAGCTTTTGGTTTCTTTTTCTTCCTGTTCACAGGTCAGCATCCCAACACCTGATTTTGTAGTAACATGTAAGCTGTGATGTGTGATAAGTAGCTCTCCAGACATTGCAGAAGGTTTTATAAAGAGAGGATTGCTTTTACCAAGCAGATCTATTAGGAATTACTTTTACTTAAAAGGTGTAAACAAATGCATATTTTCCAATTATCAATTTTTTTTTCTAGAAGAAATAGAATTAATGTTCAAATTGAAAGAAGTTTGACTCAGCTGCAGAGTGTGCTTTAAAGTAAATACACATCTCCACTCTATCAAGCAATTGATGAAATTCAGGTGACATCTACCTAATTTTGTTGGTCATGCAGCTTCTTATTTCTACATTGTTCTAAACTTTTTTTTCTTCAAGTTGGGTTTTAAGGTTCTTCCAATAAGTTTGCTTACTTATTTTACAGCTAAGTCCTATTTCATCCCATCTCTGATCATAATGAATCACACATAGACCTCTCACTTATCTAATCTCATTTAAGTTCTACATCACACATTTTCATTACTACAAATGGTCTTATCAATTCTCAGCACGATTTCTATTTATATGCTCAAGCCTTAATCAGGGTTGATGTTTCCTGGGTGCTAAGACTGCATAGAAGATGGTGCTATGAATTTTGTGTTCTAAGTGCAGCACACCCACATATTGTTAGAATAGCTCTCGCTCCTTGGAGGCAATAGACATACCAAGTGTCACATTTGTTCAGAGATTTGGCCATTTGTGGTCAATGAGAGTGGTCAATTTATCACCCAGTGTTTGATATAGCATTGAAATTCCAGCAAATTCTCTGATTCAAAGGTGACAGCTGGCAATCTTGGACACACCTCAATAAATGCTTTAGATGTTACTAATCGTTGCTGGTATTGACTTGTACATGAGTTGATCGAACATTAAAGGAAACACCAACTTAATTTACTGACCTGCAAATGGCGCTCTGGCTGTATGCAGGGCCCTCCGTGATTGATAGTGCTTGTCCCACTTGTGTCTGCGTCAGTCCCAATGAGAGGCGTCGAATCTTGAACGCTTTCGCAAATTCTTTTATTTCATCCAAATTGATTCCATCCACCATATTGGTGTTGGCTTGGTTGATGGTTGGCTGGTCTGGTTAGGACACGAGAAAAGTCAAGTTGTAGTTTCGGAATTAATTTGAGGCGTGAGGGAGTAAGTGCACATCCTATCCAAACTGAACAGCGAGCAGCTCTACGCTCCAGGTAGAGTGTGCCAGCCATGCGCACTGTTCAGTTTGGAGAGCCCACGTTGGGGAGCACGCCACTCACTTGGGTTGTCGTCCAGCAGGTCCGACACTGGGCTGAGCGCCCCCGTCGAGCTGCCCGAGTGTTGGCTGCCTCCGCCGCAGCCGGTACTGCCGCCTTTCAACTGAAGCTGGAGCGGCGATTGCCGGTTGTTATTGTTGACATTCGTGCTATTATTGTTATTACTAGTGCTATTGTTGTTATTGTTGCTACTGCTGTTGAAGCCGTGCGCCTGGGGCGGCGAGGCGCTGCCCGAGGACGTGCTGGTGGTCGTTATCGTCAAGTCGCAGTTGTTGGCCGCTAACCGGCTGATGGAGGAGGCGATGCCGTTGAGGAGCCCGTTGCCGTGGCCGCCGTGGCCGCCGTGCCCGTGGCTTTTCTCCTGTTGGGAAACGGGAAACCCATTCGCGTTAGAACCATGGACACTAACTGCAGGCCTGATCCCAGCACCGCTCTCGTCGCTCTGTCTCTCTCGCACCCACACGAGCTGCCTCATGAGTGCGAGAGAGACAGCGCGACGTGGGCAGTGCTCGGCGGTGGAACTGAAGCGTAGTGGTGTGCTTCACTTCATTCAAGCACACAACACTGACTGACGCTTGAAGTCAAGCGTAGAGAACAAAGTCTCCCGCGAATTTACATAGGCGGAAGGGCAGCGGATCTGGAGTGCTACGCTTGAAGAGAGGCTTAGAAGTACGCTTCAACCCGCGCCGTTCTACCGGAGTACTTCGGAGCGCTTCGTCCCCGTGCGGAACGGCCCATGAGTGCGAGAGAGACAGTGAGCCTCACCTGGTAGGGGTGGTGGGCCATGACGGGGCCCATCGGGGGGCCGGGGTGTGCCGGGCGGTGCGCGGGGTGGATCTGCTGCGCGTGCCCACCGTGGCCCGCCAGCACGTCGCGCTCCCGTTCGCGCTCCCGGTCCATCTCCCTCTCTCGCTCGCGTTCCCGGTCGCGCCGCTCCCGCTGCTCGCGGTCGCGGTCCCGCTGCTCCCTCAGTCGGGCCGCGGTCAGCAGCGACGGGTGCTGCTGCGGCTGCGGCGCCGGCTGCTGCTGTGGCGGCTGCTGCGGCGCCGCCGGCTGGTGGTGGTGGTGGCCGTGGAGGTGGTGGTGGTGGCCGCCGTTGGGCAGGTGCGACGCGCTGCTCGGGGCGGGCCCTGCGACAAGAACGAGAGAGACGAGTGTCATCAGAGAGCGGCTTTTGCCGTCGCCCGTCTCGCCCGCACTCACGGAGCTTTCCCCGTCAGTGCGAGAGAGACAGGGTGAACGCTGTGCATCTTTCGAAACAAAACGTTGAGCAGCTCGCGACAGTTAAGAGGCAAACGGTTTACTGCAACTTCCGCACTTATTGTTCTCCCTCGAACTCACTTTCCTATGTCCTATTTTGGCATGCGCGTTGGCTAGGAAGAGACGACCTGCAGACTGGTTTTCGTCGCTCTGTCTCTCTCGCACCTATGGGGGACGCCCCATGAGTGCGAGAGACACAGAGCGACGAAAGCGACTGCCGGAATCAGTGTGCCGTCCGGCCCGGCGGCGTCCGCGTCCGCTCTCCTCGCACCCCAGTCCCAGTGTCGAGCCCCCAGTCCTCAGCCAGCGCGCCCGACGGCCAGCGATAGGCAGCCCGCTGCACCGCCGTGCGTCGCGCGTGCCCAACTCGCAGGCGCCCGCAGGTGGGCGGGCCGTGCGGGCCGGGCCTGCTGCCGCCTCGGCCACCTTCGGCGTGCTTCGGCGCCGAGTGGGCAAGGTGCGGGCGGGGTGTGGGCGGTGCTGCTGCGGGTGGCGCCAAGTTGAGTGCACGAGGTTGGCGGCGAAGGGGGGGTGGGGAAGGGGGAGGGGAGGGGAGCGTTTATTGCATCGCGGCGTACCGTGCCGGAGGTGCCGGACGCGGGCACACTGGCGTACCGGGCGGCGCAGGGCGCAGGGCTGCCACACCGATAATTGAGTTTGCCTCTCCATTCGCAGACTCTGACTCTGCCTTTGTTGTTCCGCTCTTTTTTATTTTTACATTTGTCCCTCCACTTCCCCTCCCGCCCGCCGCGCCGCCGCCCGTTTGCCTTTTTTTCACACAGAGTTTGGCGTCTGTGTGTGTGTGTGTGTGTGTGTGTGTGCATGTGTGAGTGGGCCCGACCGGTGGCGATCGAATTGGGCCGGGCTTTACTTAGTGGCCGCCCCGCCCGCCCGGGCTGCCGATATCACCGCCGGGGGAAAACGAAATTTTTGTGGCCGACAGCCCCGCCCCGCCCCGCCCCGCCCCGCCCCGCCCCGCCCGGCCACGCCTCGCCCGTGTATTATGGGAACCCCATCACGTCACATCAAGGGAAGGCCGGTCCGCAAAAAAGGACGAGGCGGCAGGCGGGGTGCAGCTGGCTGGCCGAAGCCGAGGCCGAAACCGCCTCCCTGCCACCGCCTGCCGCCCTGCCATCGACCTCCGCGAGCGAGCGGCGACGGCGACGTCGTCGTGCACTTGGCCGTCGTCGCCCGCTCGGCGGTACAAGGCTCGGCGTCCGCCTGCCGCTCTGCCGCCGCCGCACAGTGGGCCGGAACTCCAGGACGCGTTTTGAGCTACAGAGTCGCTAAATGGGACTCGAACCGATCGTGTGACCCCACCACTGGATTGCTCTCTGAACGAGGAATCCATTGGTGGGGTCACTCCTTCGGTTTGAGTCCTGTTTAGCGACTCTGGAGCTCAAAACGCGTCTGGAGCTTTGGCCGCCTCCACCGGCCTTTTGGCACACTGTGCGCCGCCGCCTGGCCGCGGAGGAAAACCGGAGCGCGGCCCACGCCCACCGTTCGATCCGACGGGCGGCGGAGAGGCAGCGCGGGGAAGTACCGTAGCGGTGCAAGGGCCGATGATCGATTAATCGATTGTTCGAACACTCCGTTTCGATCAACGATTAATTGTCACCGAGCATGGTGGGTTAACTGAGTTGATCGCGGACAAAAGAGGCGGATAGTCGAAAAATTTACCCTCTCGAGGACGTTTTATGAACGGAGCCGGGTGGAGGTACTAACTGTCCGCCGCGCCACTGCGAGCTCGTGCTGCGAGCAGGCTGACGTACTTGTCCACGGACACGACGCGCAACGCTCGCACCTCTGCCGCCCGAACGCGCGAACCCTCTGGACTATGGAAAGCAATCATCATCACCAACATCGCGACGGACAATGAGGACTCCGGGATTCGTCCCCGGAATGAGGCAGTGGCGTCGCACTCCGGGAGCGGCACGGCACGGCGAGCGCAGAGCCGTGTGGTTGAAATCGGCTCGTCGTTACAGTACTCGGTGGCGCCGCGGGCGCAGCCCCCCCTCCCCCGCCCCGGCCGCCAGCGCACAGTGGGCCAGAAGACCGGTGGAGCGGCCTAAAATCCAAAACGCGTTTTCAGCTCCAGAGTCGCTAAATGGGACGCGAATCGAACGAGTGACCCCACCAATGGATCGCTCTCCGAACGAGGAATCTATTGATGGGGTCACACGGTCGGCTCGAGTCCCATCTAGCGACTCTGGAGCTCAAAACGCGTCTCGAATTTTGGCTAACTCCACCGGTCGTCTGGCCCACTGAGCGGCGCCACCCGGAGGTGTACTAATTTGATGTTTATTTAAAACGTGGGAAGCGGCCGTCCAATTTACCCGCCATCCCGATTCGGGTTCGCGAGCAATGGGTGGCGGAGTGGCGGATGCCGTGCAGGCGCTTCCCCCTCCCTCCCCTCCCCCTCGCCGCCCCTTTCCGGCGCTAATCTGAAGGGTGAGGTCTCTCCCGGCCGCGCTGCAGCAATCGCGGTGCTCGCAGCGAACGCACGCAGGCTGGACGGCGGCGGTGCTGAGCATGCAGGGCGATGCAGGGCGATGCAGGGGGGCTGCACGGCACACTGCAGCCTGCAGCTCCACGCCCGACCGCAGCAGACGCCCACAGGGCCTATCTTGCGCGGCAGTGGCGCCCCGCTCGGCGCGCGCGTGTGTGTGTGTGTGTGTGTGTGTGTGTGCGCGCGCGCGCGAGGGTGGGGGTAGCGGGCAGCCCGCGAGCTGGGCCCTACTGTGTTGTGCCTTGGCAATGCGAGACGTGCCTTCGCCTGCTTCGCCCCCCAGCGGTGTCCGAGACAAAGCCCCTGCACAATGCAGCCCGCCCCGCCCCACCCCTCGCCCCGCCACGAGCCCTCGCTATGCATGCTCTTTGATTGTGCTGCCCCGCCTACCCGGTCGCCCCGCCCCGTTGTTTGGAGGCAAGGCGCGCCCTGCATGGCACGGCACGGCACGACGCGGCACGACACGGCACGGCACGGCGCGGCACGGCGCCTACAGTACAACTTTGCACGCGGCACCGGGCTGCCGTGTCTTCGGCGCTTGTCCGCCCGTCGTGGTGCTGACCCGCGCAACCAGGCGGTATTCGGCAGAGTCACACAAGAACAAAAAAATTAAATTTTCAAAATTTAAAAAAAAATAATAAAATTAAACAAATGTTTGTTGTTGTTTCCGATACAGCGTTTATAGACCCGGAAAAAATAAAAAGCTCGACTTATTGAAAAATAAATATCTATTACGTGTGAACGGTGCGTTCCGAGCGATGCACAATGCAACAGAATGAGGAAATCGGAATTGAAAATTAAGGTATCCGACGTATTGGTCCTTTACGACCGTCGTCTGAAGACAGTGACATAAGGTTGAAATTTTCGTCAAGTTTCTGCCCGTCGAGGGCACCGGCCTCGGCGCGGCCAGGCGGTCGACGGCCCGAAGCACCCGATGCTCGCGCGTCGCGCCGTCCGACAAACGAATGCGAAAAACAACAACAAAAACAAGGCGACGCGCACAAAGAGAGCACACGCCCTGACCGCGGCACCGCGGCGGGGGAGGTGAACAAGGGAAGCCATTTTTTCGGCATTTGTAATGGGTTTATTATTAAGTTTTCAAATATGCGCGCTCACGGAACGACAACTCGCACACGACGGCTCGGCTCGCGCGGCGCGCCGCGTTCGGAAAACGTTCGGAAAACGTTCGGAAAACGTTCGGGGCGCCGCGTCGTCTCGCTCGCTCCCGTTCGGGCAGACGGCACGCAACGAGCGAGCGCGCCAGCAAGCAAGCAAGCAACGCCCGACCGGCCCGACGCGACATCCATAATAAAATGAGGAATCGAGTTTGCTTTCCTTTTAATAGGAATGAAACGTGATTAGTGGGGTAGTGCATCTGCATCAGTGTATCGGGCGGGGCGGCGGGCGGGCTGGACGGGCGGGGAGGTCGGTGGACTGGAGGCGACGCGGCGCGCGCCCGGGGTCCTCTGGCCGTCCCAGTAGCAGCCCCTCCAAGCGGAGTCACTTTTAGAACAACAATTAGGCGCTTCCCTCTCCTCTCTCTCTCTCTCTCTCTCTCTCTCTCTCTCTCGAACGGTGGGCGATGGGAACGTTATGCGATGCATAACTAACTCATCGTTAAAATTTGATTTTCTGGCGCCTATTCGAAGCGGCGGACACGTCAAACGGGACAAAACAGGTCAAAATCGGGCCAAAAGGATTCCAGCTTCATAACAATAAACCAAACTTTGACAAAAAAAAATCGCTCATTTTGGGGGCCTGTAAGCGCCGTCACAATGAGCCAAATTTTCACAAAAAGCCACTCCTTTTGGGGGTGACGCTGACGCGGTGGCTCAGAGGCACTAGTAGCCGACTGACTCACCGAGTCCGTTGGTGAGCCCCTGCTGCTGCTGCCCCACGAGGTGCGCCAGGGTGGTGCTCACCACCTGGCCGTTGCTCAGCGCCAGGTTCACCAGCTGGCCGGAGTTGACGTGGCTCATGGGGATGGTGAGCACGGTCTGCGTAGCGATGCCTGCAACACAAGGCCGCTTTAAAAATACCGCCCGGACCGGCCCGGCCCAGCCCAGCGAGGGGTGCGCGTCTTGTGTGAACCCAGCGGAAGGGTCCGGGCAGGCGCCTGCCAGGCGAGGGCGGTCGCTCGCGGCGCGC